CCAACAGGGGCCATGTAAACGGATTGGTTTAATTGTCACATCATGACATTTTGTGGCCGTCGAGGCCTTTTAAAGTACTTGCGTATGTGTGTTTTTTAACCGCTTTCTTATTCCATTTCCGAGCCTGCAGCCCCTGTCTCATTCTTGGATACCCGCAAACAACTTCCTCGGAGCCTAAGCCGTCCCTTGGCGAAGGGTGGCGAGGGAGTTGCCGTAGCCCGGGGGCGTAGGCTGTTCTCATGGCTCGACCGGCCCTTTGGCCTCAGGACACGCTTTTGGTCCTTAGGTTTCTTGCGACGGTCCTGCCGGAGCGCGAGAGAGTTTGGCGTAGAAATTTTCGAAAGATGGTTAAGAAACGGTGTTCGGGACTTAGGGGATTCCCCCCTTTTTAGCCCCCGAGGGAGGCTCGGCTCTGCAGAGGCAGAGCCGAGTCTCTCTTGTAGCGTTATTGTGACGTCGAGCCCCTATCGATAGACAAGCTCTTTGCAAAGAACTTCCTCGGTGCCTAAGCTGTCTCTTGGGTGAAAAGGTGGTGAGGGAGCTGCCATAGCCCAGAGGCGTAGGCCGTTCTCATGGCTCAGCCGGTCTTTTGCCTTTGAGACGAACTTTTGGTCCTTAGGTTCCATACAATCGAGTTGCCTATTAAGGGGGGTCCTCGAAAGATTGTAACAACTAAAGAACGCTTCTTTATTGTATTCCGAGAAACAATGTAAACAACGTTTGGAAACTTAAGGGTAGAAACGACGTAGCTGTTCTATATTCCAAGCGTTGGTGAAGATATCGCCCTTCTCGTTGGCCAGCTTGTAGGTTCCGGGCTTCAGTACTTGGGCGACGATGTACGGCCCTTCCCATGGCGGGGTCAGCTTGTGGCGGCCCTTGCTGCTCTGCCTCAGCTTCAGCACCAGGTCGCCCACCTTCAGGTCTCGGCTCCGAATGTGCCGGGCTTGGTAGCGTCGTAGAGCTTGCTGGTATTTGGCCGAGTGTAGCAGGGCAACGTCTCAGGGTCGCTCGCGATCATGAAGCGGCGCATCGCCTCAGGGTCGCGAAGCCCGGAGAAGTCTGCTCCAACCCACGCCTCGTCCTCCTCCGAGGAGTCAGAGTGGGGGTGGATTGGAGTTGTGACTATAGGGTTATGGGCATGATGTTGATGAATGGAGACGAGGGCGATGGCGTAGGAGGCGGCGACATTGGTCAGCCCGAAAGGGCACGGGATGGCGCCGTCGCCAGCTCGGCTCGCCAGAGAGCTGGCTCCTCGGGAGGCGGCGGGATGAGCTTGATGATGGGGCATCGCCATGCGCCACCGCCCTTTTCCCCGAGGCTTAAGCGGACAGTCCCCGTCTTGAGGACTCGTGCAGCCAGCGGGTATGGGATTCGGCGAGCACGATCGGCGTTCTGTACTTGCACGGTGTTAGGGTGGACTCGCCAGCAGGGCGCTTGGTGAGCTTGATGGGAGCGGCGGCCGGGCGCCGTCCATGCGCGAGTCGCTGCCGGCGTGACGTCGTCGCTCGGTTGATGGCGCTCTGGGTGAGAGGAGTACCATGTCGTACTTCGTGCCCTAGAGACATGAATTCTAGGCTCCCAAACCAGACGATCATCCCGAGACGCAAGCGATCGCCGCGGGATCTCGCCATCCGAATCGGTGGGATGACTAAGTGACACGCAGAGGCCCCTACAGCACGCCAATCTGCCGGTGTTTGAACCGGGGTCCTTAACCGACTAGTGAATTTGTCTTGTGTGCTTCCAATTCGGATGGTGATGCAAAGAGACACAAGGTTTATCTTGGCTCGGGCAATGGATGCCCTACGTCCGATCGAGAAAGATGTTCTTGTATTCCTTGCACCGGGTACTCGTAGTAGGGGTTACAAGCTAGGCGAGAGAGGGAGTTCGTCCCAGGTCTCTGTGAGGGGAGGTGATATGAATTACAGAATGAGGCGTGTTGTTCGTGCGAGTATTCGTGACTCTATATGCCGTCCCTAGAAACGGTCATGGCCGCCTCCTTTTATAGCCGCAGGGAGGAAACCAGGAGTACATAAGAGAGCTACACGTGGAGCGGACTATTCGATGACGTATTTACTCCTGGACCAGCATGGCGTTGTCGTGGGAGTTCCCGTAGATGTCTAATCGGTATGGTCTCCACTGCAAGTAACATGCTGCGTATTTGTTGGCTTGGTGGATTGTAGAAGCTCGGCGGCCATCATAGCCGGTCGTGCCGAGGCCTGTTGTGCCGAGGCCTGCCGTGCCGAGGCCTGAGAAGTGACCCAGTGCGAATGCGGTCTCAGCCGCCATCAGGTGAACAGGTCGAGAGACGTCGCCTCGGATATCTGATACTGTGTTGTCGATGGGGATGGTAAAAAGGTGATCGACCGTTGTCCCGTCGCTCTGTTGCGCAGCGCACCGCCGATCGTGGCTTACGAAGCGGTGCAAAGTGCGCGGCGCGTGTCGGATCGACGGCTGCCAGAGAGACCTTTGAGGCGGAGGCGACGAGGTTGCGGGACGAGCCCGGCCTCGGGCGAGGCAGAGCGTGGCCAATTCGTCCGAGGCCCTACCGGGGGGTCTCGGGCGAGGCGGAGAAAGATCAGTGAATCCGAGGCCCCGTCGAGGGGGCTCGGGCGAGACGGAGCGGTCGGTCCGCTGATTCCGAGGCTACAGGAACCCGTTCTGACTCCCCGCGTTGCGATGTCTTTGGTGCAGGAGTTAGGCAGCACAGTGGTCGGTAACCCCTGCTCTGTGCCGTCGCAGATGGCAGGAGGTTGACGCGACTGGCGTGTAGTCGGTCACTTCGCTGTACTGTGCCATCGTGCGTCTGTCGGAGTGGTTGGGCGCTTGGATGCGACGTTCGGTCAGAGCAGTTCGGTCGAACAGGCGGTCACGGGGCTGGTCCCGAGCCGGCCTCGCGCGAATCGGAGAATCGGCACTTCTTCCGGGGCCCCGGGCGAGGGGGGCTCGACAAGGGGGCCTCGACGAGGGGGCCTCGGCGGCGGTCTCGGGTGAGTCGGAGAATCGTTTGCTTCCGCTGGGGCTCGGCGACGGGGTCTCGGGCGAATCGGAGATTTCGGCCGAGACCTCGTTTGTTTATTCTGTTGGTTCTGTTTTTAGGGTCTAAACAGTTTTTCGATCTTTGCTTGGGGTACCCCATTTTCTGGTATCCGACACTTAGATTACTACTACACAACTTAATTATCTTCTTAGAGTGCACTCCATTTAAATAAACATTATTTCTATATTTAAATCGAAGAGAGTATCTTCTTATGTACAGAATTGTTTATGATGTTAGAGTTTAATTATAAGCAAGAATTTCATGTCTTATCTGGGTTTGTATGATTTTGTGTTATTTTTTAAAAACTTTTTTTTTTTGCTTTTGTGCTATTATGTCCAAGTTAGTCCATAGCATAGAGGGACAATATATTAATCATGAGTCCATGACACAAAATAATATTATATTTTTGGCGTGACATGCATGCATAATTGTGGATTGCTTGATTTACGATATCAATTGGTATGTGCACCGCCGTAGCAATTCTTATCGTTATTATCACTCTACTATAAAATAAAAGGAGATAAAAGTCAAACTGTTTTGTACCACTTGGGCTACCCGAACTAATATAGAGATGCAACTTGGTATGGAACAGTTTTTGGGTTCTGATTTTGACCGAGGCAATTTGGATTACGCAATTTTGACCGAGGCAATTGGATTGTGCAATGATGAACTACATTTTCGATTTGCAATTGCTAACTATTATTCCTGAGCCCAGACCCCTTGCCTTTGGTGTCTTCTATATTTGAATCGCTATGTTTGAACTTCGAGTTGGACAAACCATTTGAGCGAAGAGAGCAAAAATAGAGAAAAATAGAAAGTAGGGCTCTGATTTTGGGGGTTAACTTCACAAAATAAGTCACCCCAAAATTAGAAGCTCCAAAAATCGATTTTAGGGTGTTGCTGGAGTTGCTAGTAACAATCTTCCCATGGAGCACGAAAGGGCGTCCTAGAAGCCCTTATGATGTTGAGAAATTTTTTTATTTGGCCTTAGTTTAAAGTTGACTTTCTTCTTTGGCCCTCTGAAACAAAATTTGTTACCCATTTGGCCTCACTTGAAGTTTCGTTTTTTAATCTGACCTTACCGTCATCTCCTGCCTCTAACACCGTTAAGTGGCACATAAATTGACCAAACTGCCCCTGAGACATTATGAGAAACCAAAGGTCACAGGGGCAGCATAACAAATTTGGTCATTTGAGACATTATGAGAAACCAAATGTCTTAGGGGCAGCATAACAAATTTGCCTGGGGCCGTAGCAATGGCGAGCTAATTTTGATCATGTATGTATGGGGCGCGCGGGCACGGCCGCACGGACAGGTTTGGAGGCACTGGAGCCTCGGCAGCGTGCTGCAGCTTCTCGATGGCTACCCGGCGGAGGAGCCGGACAGGCTGGAGATGCTGAGGTGCATCCACATCGGGCTGCTCTGCGTCCAGGAGGATCCGCAGCTCCGGCCCCGCATGGCGTCCGTCCTCCTCATGCTCAGAAACCGCATCGTCACAATGTCGCCGCCAACCAAGCCGGCCTTCGTAGTCCCCACAGGGGAGCCGTCGACGTCGATCAACAAAGTCTCCGTCTCTGACTTGGAGGCACGTTAATGGATTGCAGGGTTTAGCATGGACGAAGACGACGTGATCCTTCATTTCTGCTCTTTCCATTGAAATTACAGGGGCTGTAAATTTTTTTTTGCTCAAATTCAAATTAAAAAACAAACACGTTACGCTATATAATATTCCTACCCCCCATGGACGCAAATCAGTTTAGCGAGTCGGACTCGAGGTGGAGAGTGGAGTCGTACAACATATCGGATCGGAACCTGGCAAGGAAAACAAGGACGAGGCCGCGTCCGAGTCCGACACGGCCGCCGCGCACCGCTAGGCCTATAAAACGGCACCTACCTTCCCGCCTCGCCGTCGCATCAAACCAAAGTACGTAGCTCAATTGGCCAACTGACAACGTAGTCGAGATGGGGCGCATCAAACGTGCGGCGTCGCTCTTACTCGCCGTCGTGCTCGCGCTCCTGCTCCCAGCGTCGTTCTGCGCCGCCGAGCCGATCAAGACCACGCCCACGCGCTGGAGCTTCCACCTGCCGCTGCCCGACGGCGTCACCGGCGCTGAGAGCCTCGCCTTCGACCGCCGCGGTCAGGGCCCCTACGCCGGCGTCTCGGACGGCCGCGTCCTCAAGTGGGCGCAGGTGCTGGCGACGCAAGCGGCAGACGGCGTGCCGTTCCACTTCGTCAACGGGCTCGACGTCGATCAGGCCACCGGCGACGTATAATTCACGGACAGCAGCACCACCTACGCGCGCAGGTTCAACACCGAGATTATGATGAACGCCGACGCGACGGGGCGGCTGCTCAAGTACGATGCGCGGACGAAGCAAGTCACCGTGCTCAAGGCCGACCTGCCGTACCCCAACGGCGTGGCGGTCAGCACCGACAGGACGCATGTAGTGGTGGCACACACCGTACCGTGCCAGGCGTTCAGGTACTGGCTCAAGGGGCCCAAGGCCGGCCAGTATGAGCTCCTCGCGGACCTGCCTGGTTACCCGGATAACGTGAGGCGCAACACCAGGGGCGGCTACTGGGTAGCGCTGAACCAGGAGAAGGCGCGGCTCGACACGACGGCGCCTCCAATGAAGCATCTTGTTGGCGTCCGGCTCGGTGTAGACGGGACTACGGTGGAGGAGCTGACGGCGGCCAAGGGTGTGACCCTGAGTGACGTCTCTGAGAAGGACGGGCAGCTGTGGCTGGGATCCGTAGAATTGGACTACGTAGGCCTAGCTTAGATTACTACTACACTACTTAATTATCTTCTTAGACTGCACTCCATTTAAATAAACATTATTTCTATATTTAAATCGAAGAGAGTATCTTCTTATGTACAGAATTGTTTATGATGTTAGAGTTTAATTATAAGCAAGAATTTCATGTCTTATCTGGGTTTGTATGATTTTGTGTTATTTTTTAAAAACTTTTTTTTTGTTTTTGCTTTTGTGCTATTATGTCCAAGTTAATCCATAGCATAGAGGGACAATATATTAATCATGAGTCCATGACACAAAATAATATTATATTTTTGGCGTGACATGCATGCATAATTTACATGAAGGCTACTCGCGTACCTTCAATTCAACAAGAATAGTAGCAGTGATTCATTGACGTCCTCCATGCAGCAGCACCATCAACGAGGTTCCAAGTCAGAGACAGACCCTTCGTCGATCGACGGCTCCGGAGCAGCCGCCCTCGGCCCTTCGGCTGGGCTCACAAAGGCCGGCACCGTGGGAATGGGCAGCGTGATGGAGCGGCTGTTGAGCATGACGACGACGGACGCCATGCTTGGCCGGAGGCGTGGGTCCTCCTGCACGCAGAGCAGCCCGACGTGGATGCACCTCAACATCTCCTGCGGGCCCGGCCCATCGGCTGGGCAGCCCTCGAGCAACTGCGACACGTTCTGATGGCTCCATTGGCCCCAAACCTGCTCGTGCCACACGCGATCGGAATTGAGTATAATTCAGTAATATGCTTCCTCGATGTAGTCTCTAAGCGCGAGACACGTTTAGAAAAGATCTAATCCATTTAATAAATCAGAAACATTAGACCATCCATTTATTAGAGTCCAACCATCATTGACAGCGGAGTCGTTCGATCTTTTCTATTTCTTCATAATTAACCAAATTTATTATTGTGAAAGATAATCAAAATGAACGACAACGGAGTCATTGGATCTTTTCTATTTCTTCGTAGTTACCCAAATTTATTATTATGAAAGATAATCAAAGTGTCCATTTTAAGTTCTTAGATTTTGAAATTCAAAATTTAGAATTTTTAAAAACCTCAGATGTGGGCTGTTGATTTGGCAGTTGGGACTGCTTGCCTCTATAAATTTTGAATTTTTAAAAACTATTTAGCAGCCGGGACCGCTTGCCTCTGTAAACAACAACAACCGTCTCTGGAATCGCCTTTTATAGGATTACACCTTAGTCATTATGAAATATAAGTTAAAATATCCCACCAAATTATTTTTAGATATATATGCCTACATATATTTTTAATTGCCCGCTGATGTGACTAATAGGTAAAAAGTTATCTCAAAACAAACATACATATTGTATGCCACATGGAGATCATTAATACAATCATGCATGAGTGATAGATACATATTTTTATTGTTTAGCAACTACGAAAATTTCTTCTCTTAAGGAAGCACACTTTGACAATTAATTTAAATTATTAATATCTCATGAGAGTAAAATAAATTATTTATTTGTTATTTTGATAGATTATATTTTGACTAAAAAAATAATAATATATCTACTTTGATAGTGAAAGTGCACCTAGCCCTTAAGTGAGTTTTGGATGATTGGATGGCAACGTAATTAAAGGTCTAACCCGTTTGCTAAGTGTGGACAGGTAATAGGTTATCTCACAGGTATTTAATGAAAGGCAAAATGATGTATTGTTGAAACAATCTAGTTCAAACACAAAACAACAATGCAAATGTAATTCATGCAAGGCTTGTTTATTGTGGGATTTTGATGACTCATATGAAAGCAAGCACGATGAATAATAATTAATGAGGCGTGAGGGATTACATATGGATTGGTCTCATCTTTTAAATCTTGCTAAGTTAAAGACATGTATACAAATGAGTTTAATGAATGATTCGACACCAAGTGTGACTAGATGGCTTGAGATGGTGAAGATATCAAGGAAAGGCTTCGAGGTACTAAGCAAGGGTGAAGGGTAAGCGACGGCTTGGTGACCGAGGAACCTAGCTAAGATAAAGAAGGAAGTACTTGCATTTAGTCAAGGCACCGATCAAACCATATTGGTCATATTGAAGTGGAGAATCAAATCCTATATGACTTTTATAAATGGATGACCGGATAACTTTGAAGCCAATTCACATTTATTGAATAGAATCAAGTCAAAATGGTCAAGATGGCTATGCTCAAGGATAAAATCAAAGTCGACATGTTGACACCCTCTCTTGATGAAAATTGAAAGCTATGGCATTTCGGTTCAAGAAAATTCAACTCAAGCGCTTCAAATTCATTTTTCAGTTAAACTTGAGTTATAGGTATGCCGTACTATTAAGAGGGATGCATCATGTTGATGGATAATCATTCATAAGTGCCCAAGCCAACCCATATGAGTTTTGAGTGTTTGAGAGACATAAGATCTAACTTAGTGTTGCTGGTCTGGCAATACCGGACGTGTCCGGTATTTTCCCAGCCACAGCAATTTCCTTAGCTTTCTCGGGTTGGTTCGTCGGGAGTTCCGACGCCTCACTTGCGCCACTGACTCAGTGACTGTTGGCACTGTGCAGGCAATACCTACCGGACGTGTTCGGTATTTGCCCTGTCACAGCAATTTCTTCGTTGTCTCAGCTTGGCTCGTCGGGAGTTTCGACGCCTCACAACGACATTGACAAAGTTACTGTTGGGGCTGTACGGCAGATACCGGACATGTCCAGTATTGCCCAACGGCTACATAACGGCTAGTTTTTCAAAGGGGCTATAAATACCCCTTAGCCTTCACCTTTGGAGACGGCTGATTCTGCTGACAACCTCACACGTTTTTGAGCCTTGAGAACACTATCCAACCCTCTCTTAGTGAGTGATTGATTTAAACTTGTAAAATCATCTTGCGGGTTAAGTGAGATTCAAAATTGAAAGCAAGCCACCCTTCAGCACCTGTGCATATTTGTCGATCTCGTGATTTGCATTTGCTACTCTTGAACTCTTCGGTCTTAGACGGCTAGGCGTCGCCGGAGTGCACCCAAGAGATTGTGGTGTGTCTCGGGAAGTTTGTAACGGTTTGATTCCACTGCACAAAGGATGTAATCAACTAGTGGAAGGAGGAAAAGGAGTTGAAAAAGACTCCGGCTAGAGTGGCCTTCGTGGTCTTCTAGAGCTGACCTTCACTGGGTCGCTCGCAGTCCCCTCAACGGAGAGTAGGACTCGACGGAGTCCGAACTTCGGTAAAACAAATACCGTGTCTCGATCTCTCTCTACATTTTGTATTTGTGATCTTTGTGTGTTGTTTGAGCTTATCTGCAGGTTACCAATAGTGGTCTGGACCTTGGTTTGAAAAGAGAGATCAATCGGAGCAAGTTGAGAGCTGGTCGGGCAAACCCGTGAATACCGGACGTGTCCGGTATTAATACCGGACGTGTCTGGTATTTGGTCACTGCGCTGAATTTGTATACCTGCTGCTCTAACTTGTTTGTTGCAGGGTTGTAGCTTCTAGATATATTCTTTATACCTTGTATTCTCTATTGGCTAACTCGTGAGGGGTTTATTTCTCTGATTAGGAGTTTCCAAGTTTGAAAACTTCAACACTAATCGTTTCCGCATTTTAAAGGGTTGAATTTTAGAAACGCCTATTCACCCCCCCTCTAGACGGCATCCTCGGTCCTCTCAGATAGTTTAATTTTTAAGTAATTTTTTAAGAAAATTAAAATATACATATTTTTTCATAGAGGATATTCAGTATCAGATCTCAAATAAATGGCATGTTATTGCACAGCATAGAATCCATTTTTTATAAAACACAAATAGAATTTGGAATAAAAGGTACCATAAGTACTAGAGTTTCAACTTAATGTGGACAAAAAAATTATAGTACCTAATAAGATCAAATTTTAGAAACCAAAATCTAGATCAATTATGTCATAATACATAGGCTACAACAAGAACTGATATAACTTAAAATTAAGATTTTGACTAAACACATATCGTAGGGACATAGATATGTGATCCAAAGTGAGAAAACAATATAAATATTGATGGAAAAAACATATAGAGTAATTAATTTTTAAATGGATGTAGAAAATAAACAGATAGTGTGTAAAGATAAGTAATTTTGATTAGTTGTTGCTAGTAAATATATCACAAACTTAGAGATGCTTAAGTTTCATAAGATTCTATCCCGTGCAGAGTTAGTGAGTGGACTAGTAAACTGCAATCCATGTTCTAATTCAAAGGTTACAACTTACAAAGTTTATGAGATTTTCGGCTGGTCGCCGGCCAGTGACGATCTCTAGGACAAGTACGCCGTAGCTATAAACGTCAGACTTGGTGGAGAAGGTGCCGCGCACGGCGTACTCCGGCGCCATGTATCCACTGCATCTCGAAGACATGGCAAGTTAGGAGGTACAATATAAATCTACATCCTTGCTATTGGTAATTACACGTGTGGCACGGTTATATAGAAGAATTTGGAGACCAAACTTACTATGTACCAGCTATCCGGCTTGTGTTTGCCACGCTCAAGGCGATGTCATACAGCTTCGCCAAGCCGAAGTCTGAGATCTTAGGATTCATGTCCGCATCAAGCAAGATGTTACCTGGCTTGAGATCACGGTGGATGATCGTCAGCCTCGAATCCTCGTGAAGATAGAGAAGCCCTCGGCCAATTCCCTCGATGATCTTGTACCTCTGCCCGCCCCCAGCTTAGCTCTTGCTGCCTTATAGGATCTGAAAGTTGAGTTCACTCATCAGTAAACAAAAGGACCGAGTGGCCTGACATGCAAGGATTATGGTCAAGCGAACACCAAAAAGGATCTTGTCGAGGCTCTTGTTGACGAGGAACTCGTAGATAAGGAGCTTCTCGTCTTCCTCGATGCAGCAGCCCAGAAGCCGCACCAAGTTCTTGTGCTGGAGCTTTGCAACTAGGACAACCTCGTTCTTCATCTCCACATGCCCTTGTTTCGAAGTTCTGGAGAGTCTCTTCACTGCAATCACCTGCCCATCTGGTAGGGTACCCTGAAGAACATTGAGATGAGATCGGACCATCAGACATTTTGTGTTCTTATTATGAGAAAGACCATTTTTAGGCACTAATTTTTGGTCGGGCTCCAGGATTGAAGTTTACTTTGTAGACTGGCCCAAACCCTCCTTCCCCGAGCTTATTTTCCTCTGAAAAGTTGTTAGTTGCAGCTCGCAGAGTACTCAGGTCGTATGTGAGAGGTTCTGAACTTCTCATTTCTTCTTCTTCAGCCCCATGTCCTATTGATAAGAGAAAACGGAAGATCCAAGCCTGAAGGTTGCACCACAATGTTCTCTCCTGATAGCTAACAACATTTCAGTAACTTACCGTCTCTTACTATCTGCACGTGCTTGTATGGTTTTCTGTTCTTCTTGCAGCCGTAGGCAGCAACAAACAGCAGCAGCATGACAGCAGCAAGAATCGAGACAATAATAAGTGTTGTCCTGATTGTGCTATTACTTCCTGCACCGACGGAGCTTAATCAGAACAGAAGCTCTTTCATCAACCTTCACCTAGAATCACTCATCTTTTGAACCAAATTACTGACACCATCGTGCTTTTAACAGCATTTGTAAGAAACTAGTTGACAACTATATATGGAAAGCCATAGAACATTATTTGGATCTGGATGGAAGGCAAGTCCACCGTGCATTCAAATTACACTTTCCTCATTATTAGACAATACAATGAAACGGATTGTAGATTGACGGGAAATTGTTATACTTTACCAATTAGACATGACTCTTTAAAGCATTTGGAAACAAATTTTGTGGGTTTCTAATACTATTTTCGTGATTTGGTGATAAATGACATCGTAATGACTAACATGCTTTTTGAACAAACTGAAGTTAGATCAGATGATTTCTTGATCTCTTTTGGGCATATTTACATAGAAGAAAACCCCCTCCAATCCATACGTATTGAGAGTAAGGATCTGTCTAGATGCCAGAGCTAATTGCTAGCTAGCTAAAAATTATCTAAAACTAGCCTTAGTATATTCAAACATGAATGTTTTTTTTTGTCAAGCCTTCAACTAGTTGTTAGCTAACTAGTGGAAATATATGATAGGAACACATCTTTGGTGAAAACATGAAAACCAATTCAAAATGCACTTGTATAACTCAAAAGAATTTGAAACTTGGCATATCTATAGTTCATTGACATATGTGGTCACATGCAAAGTTGAGATGTAAAACCATTTTTGGAAAAAAAAAATCATACGAAAATAACAAATTTCACTTGTATGTGAACTACAAAACAAAATTTCAGGAATTTTGTCTTCTAGTACACATGCATATGAATTTAAATGCATAACAGAAATAATGTATTTAGAAAAGTCAAAATATAGAGGGTGACTTCCATTTCTAGGTCGGTGCACCCACGCACCAGCAGGGGCAGTGCGTGACTGCGTGCGCTCTTGCGGAGTCAATAGGATTACGATTTCTACCATTTGCCGGCTGGCGAGGGCCCAACGATAGTGACGGGGCCCAGCTGGGCCAGTCCTGGACTTCGCTAGAGCCACACGCATAATTTGGGGTCCACAGTCCACTTGCACGGCCACTGTAGTGGTAGTTCAAGTTACCAGTGTTTTGTGGGCCGGGAAGGTAGCTGCCGTTGACTGGCCGACTTCGTGGCGCCGGCGCCGGCGACATGGCCGCCTGGGCGGCCAGGGGGTCGTAGAACGGGTAAATCTCGAACCGGAGCTGGTAGATCGGCGAGAAGAGCCGGCCGCCCTTCTTCCCATTACAGCACTTGGGGATCTTATCGACAAGAATGGCGAGGCACAGCTTGCAGTTTGCCGCGCTTGTGTCCCGCGTGCACTGGGCCAAGCCATAGAGCGTCACGAAGCTTGTTTGCTGGACCTCGCCGGCTGCGAACCTGCGCGGGGACCCGTAGGCGGCCTCCCTGGTGAGGTTGCTCATCAGCACGCCGAGCACCGACATGAACCGCTCCGGCTGCGTCACGCGTTCTCGTTGTTCGCCAGCTGGAAGATCGGGTTGGACGTGTAGGGGTCGCCGAAGAAGCTGGCGTTGGAGTAGCGCAGCATGCAGCCTTCGTAGATGAGCATGGCGTTCTTCTGGCCCGGGCACGCGCTGGCCATCTCATGCGCCGTGTCGTTGAGGCAGGAGCGGCAGTCCGACGCGCCAACGTCGCCACGGCACTGCGCAAGGCCGTACGCCTTGTCCGGCGCGGCGGCGCCGGTGGTGTTCTCGGCGAACCCAGAGGACGCGGCTGCGGCGTCTGGGAGGGAGGAGAGGATCGCGTCGAGGTTGGCCTGGAACGCGCTGCCGCGCGTGTAGTTCATGTTGTTCGAGCACTCGGTGGTGATGTAGAACTTGAGGTTGTCGGCGTTAGTTGTTGCGGTGAGGCGGAGACACCACCAGCCGAGGAGAAGGAGCGGAAGAAGGCTGTGCATGGCTAGCTGAGGAAGGTTCCTGTTGATGCCAAATCGCTAATTTTGGTCGCTAACGTACAGTTGCTAATGCTTAGGCACTTCTCTGCTCTTGCTGCGTCCTTCTGTGCTCTTTAAAGGCACTTCAGTGGTGATGACCATTGTTTTATTTGCTTATTGCGTATGCATAGTATGAAAGAGTGACCGAAGAATACTCCTCCCAGCACCAGCACTCGACCACTCGTGCAATGGTTGACCTGGGTCTTCTCTTTAAATGCAGCTGGAAGAATTTAATTTGAGCTCTTGGCGCTTTCGTTTTTATGATTTGGTCGTTGGCTCGTTGGCCTTTGCTGCGTGTAATTCGGAGCAAAGAGGAGATCGACCTGTATTGGGCATTGACGTCAGCGACCTTTCTTCATTATTGACCTTTTCCCCCAAATCGTAGGTAGCGCAGCTTGCATTCGAATTAAATCCCACCAGGACTAATCTAATGGAGTACTGTGCTAAATTTTTTTTCAAAAGCGTGCTTTGCGCGTGTTTCATTAAGAGAGGTTACAGTTCATACAACACAAACCGGCGGCGAACGACGGCGAGATGTCGAGGTCACTGCACGGCTGCACACTGACACAGATCACCGGCTATAACGGTGCAGCTAAACAGGCGTACTAACTAAGAGTACTGTGCTAATCAATCAATCTCAACTTAATTGCACCCTGATCTTCAATATCTTCGATTGGGTGGGATGTGCCCTTCAAATTAAATGTGTGTGATAAGGAATTCAGATTGTACCAACGGAAAAGGACTGGGAGACAAAATCAGCAAGACTACACACGGTTTGGAGACAACTGATACAGTTTAAAGATCTTTATAGGGCAATGACAATAGTAACAGCAAAAAAAAGGTAACTACACTAACTTTTGGTTTTAGATCTTTATTACAGGATAATAATAATAATAATAGTAACAGTGGGGAAAGATAACAATGCTAACTTTTGGATCGATATTTGGCCAGCTTAGCAAAAAGGACCTTACCCTCTCTAGCATCCTCATTTGTTTCACATCTTCTAAACCAAAATATTACTGTTCAAAATTGTACATAAAAAAATAGATTGACGAATTCTACAAGAGTTTAAACCTCACAAAGAGCAAGGATTATTGCATTTACTAAGTCAATTGGCCGGGTAACATTCATAACGGATCATGAAGATATTCTCTCTATCCCTGAATAATAGATTCCTGAAGTTGTCTTAAGTCAAACTTTTTAAACCTTGACCGAATTTGTAGAAAAAATATCAAGATTTATGATATCAAACTAATATCATTAGATGTACCATAGAGTATATTTTCATAATATGCTTATTTTATGTCATAGATGTTGTTACTCTTTTTATAAAATTACGGATTCTAGGATTGATTTATTTGGGGACAGAGGGAGTAAAAAGGGAACTAAGATTTGGACCCACAAAAATGACTATATGCTATCGTTTGGGGAGACTTTTTGCCCAATAGCACAAGACATTTGCATTGGTCTCCTTTAGTGCCTGAACAATGTAAGATAATTGGTGTCATAAATCTTTACCTTGTGAAATTAAAAAAAAGTTCAACTTAAGACAACTCTAGAAATTGATTTATTTAGAGATGGAGGTAGTATTCTTTTATTTCTCGGGTCTATTAAGTTGGTGAAGATCAAGTTACGTTCTATCAGGTCTTTAGTCTGTCACTTCACACCTTGAATCTTTAGATGACATTGTTCACCCGTATTGTTCGAAGGCTTGATGTTTTCTATGTGATGTAAGTTTTTGGATCAGGTATCTTCCTTTAAGTTGTTTAATGGAGACTTCTTAGCTCATTGGTTATCTTCAGCTAGTGGATGTTGAACTTACTTTGTGTTTAGGATCTGCTCTTGTATATATGAACCTTAAGCTTTTTATGTCATGTGTTGTCTATGTGTTTGCATTTGCATATGAAGAAGTGTTAACCCCTCATATTTGTATCATGTTATAGACTAGCGTCTGTGTAAGATTCAAATATGTCTATTATGAGTGATATGAAGTTGGATATCATACCTGCTATCTTCATGTGTTGGTTCTATTCGGGATGTGAAGGCAGCCTATCGTGTAATGCTACTACCCTCCCTCCGCTTGCTTTAGCAGAAATGCACCGTGATGGCCAAGATAGGAATATTAAGAAAGCATTTAATTAATATTCCATTCGTTCTAAATTATAAGAAATTTTGGCTTTTCTAGATATATTTCTTTTACTATGTATTTAGACATAGCGTATATCTAGGTGCATATCAATAACAATGTATCTAGACATAGTATATATCTAAGTGCATAGCAAAAACAATGTATCTGTATCATGAAACAGATGGAGTAACGTGTTTTTTATTAATTTGAATTTGAGCAAAAAAAATTTACAACTCCTGTAATTTTAATGGAAATAGCAGAATTGAAGAATGTATCTCGGCCACTGGAACCTTTTCCTGCCTAGAGATTTGTAACATCCCAGGTGTTAGTCACGAGTTAAGCAGCGAGTTTGGACTCAAGTAAGTTATGTCAAGTGATGATCAAGAGCTCTAGTCTAAAATTTTGGAAGTGGTGATGAAGGTGTTAAGGTCAAACCTATGAAAATGAGCCCCAACTTAAACTTGGATAACATACTTTGCTTACACGTTGACCTTTTTCAAATGTAGGCTTGAGTAGTTAAGCATGCATCTTTCATGAGCATCACCTTAGTATCAAGCTATCTTGACCATTGGAAAAGTTTCATGAAGTTTGGGATCGAAAGGTCAATGGAATGACAAGTAATATTCTTGCTTGGATTACTTTGTTAAGTGAATGAAAACTTGTAAAGTCAACCAAACCTTGCAACCTTGCTCAAACAACTCTAATTAAACTCATGAACAAAAGTTATGAAACGTTCATGTTGAGCAAGTGTCAATAAGGTGCTTTAATGGACAAAAAGAACCATTTAAGCTTTATCGAGATGCTACTTTGACCAAGATAAATGAGTGGCTTCTGTACCAGTTCTAGGGTTTGACCTTTAATAAAAGTTATAGTTTGAGTGGAGTAAATTGAACTTCGTTTTTGGAGCATACCCTGAATCAGCTTGCAAACAAGTCAAACAGAGGCTCAGAGATTTAATCTACTGATGTTTTCTCCCTACTCAAAATAATTCTAAGTCTGAGATTACATGGCAATAAGTGTTGACACGTCACGTTCTCGTGTTTTTGTGAAGCAACTTGAATTGGTCCAAGAATAAGAGTTGGAGCTAATTCCATCGAGAAGGTCTGGGAAGAAGTTGGATCAAGTTTGACCATGTTTGGACCAAGTAATTGGAGCTCAAGCAGAACAAGGCTTAAACCTCATCAAGTCACTGACAGTGTCAACTTGGGGTTTAATTAGCCGCTAATATAGAACTCTAATGGCCATACACCCTTAATAGGGATGGGAGATCAGCTGGAGAAGAGAAACTTTGCTATAGCACCCAAGATCCGGATCTCAACCGAATATGCCAAAATTTGGACCCGAAGTCATGCTGAACCGCGCCCGCCAGGTGTTCGTCGTTTTGGCTGCGTGGCGTCCATGCGTGGGCAGCGCCCCCACCTCCTTCGCCGGCGCTGCTGCCTCGATGGGGAGCTCACCCGAATGCGTCGTCTGCCTCTACACTCTCCACGCTCGCCCTCTCAATCGCTCTGGCCCTGCTGCGCTCGCTCTTCCCGCTCCCTTCCTCGCTCTGTGCCAGAGCGCGGACGCGGCCGCCATGGCTGCCGGCCAAGCAGAGCTCCGAGCTGCCACCACCACTCCCTGCTCTCCTCCACCCCAGCGGGCCACTCTAGCACCGCCACCGAGCCTGCCTCCGACTCCGTGACCGCCTCCCCAAACCCTAGCCTGAGTTCAACCGCCGGCCATCGTCGTTCTTGGGCACTGGTTGAAAGGTCCTAATATGGCTAGAGGGGGGGGGTGAATAGCCTATTTAAACTTCTACAAGTCAACTAGAGCAATTTGATTAGTAAGACAAATAGCGAAATGCAAACTTGCTCTAGCTCTACAAGGGTTGCAAGCCACCTGTCCAACAATTCTAGTTGCAATGATCAATTGGCACACAATCTACTTGACTACTACTCACTAAGAGCTCTCACAAATGCTACACTAAAGAGCTCCACTAGATATGTTTAAAGCACAAGGCAAGCTCTCAATTCTAGTTACACTAAAGAGCTTGCTATATCTAGTTTATGAAAATGTAAATGAGTAAGTGATACGATTATACCGCCGGTCGTGGAGTGAACCAATCACAAGATGAAGATTGAGCCAATCACCGGGAGAATGCAATGACAAGAGACAACCGATTTTTCTCCCGAGGTTCACGTGCTTGCCAACACGCTAATCCCGTTATGTCGACCAACACTTGGTGGTTCGGGGACTAAGTGTTTCACAAACCTCGTCCACACGATAGGACACCGCAAGAACCGACCCACAAGTGAGGTAACTCAATGACACGAGCAATTTACTAGAGTTACCTTTTCGGCACTCCGGCGGGAAGGTACAACTCCCCTCACAATCACCGAAGGCGGCCACGAACAATCACCAACTCGTGCCGATCCTTCACCGCTGCTCCAACCGTCTAGGTGGTGGCAACCACCAAGAGAAACAAGCAAAATTCGCAGCGCAACACGAATACCAAGTGCCTCTAGATGCAATCACTCAAGCAATGCACTTGGATTCTCTCCCAATCTCACAATGATGATGGATCAATGATGGAGATGAGTGGAAGGGCTTTGGCTAAGCTCACAAGGTTGCTATGTCAATGAAAATGTGCAAGAGAGTAAGCTTGAGCCGGCCATGGGGCTATAAATAGATCCCCAAACAAATAGAGCCGTTATACCCCTTTACTGGGCAAAACACGCTCTGATCGGACGCTCCGGTCATACTGATCGGACGCTGGCCCTCAGCGTCCGGTCGCCCGATGGACGCCACGCATCACCAGCTTCAAACGCTGTTCGTCAGATTTCAACGGCTATGA